CCATTTTCCCCCCTAGACAAGCAAAACCATGCAGCTAAAATCCTCAACATCTTAGCACAGGGCCATAACAGCACAAATGGCTTGTGAGAAGAAGACGAGTCCTTTTCACTCCACAGAGCTTGGCATCCTTTTAATGTCAAAAGGTAGCCAGGGAATCCAGTAACCTTAATATAAATACTAAGTTTTCTTTAATATTTCCAAAAATATTTCCACTTCACCAAAAAGAATGTTGAGAATATTCATCTGTAAAAGAACAGTCAATGTTTTCACATGCATAAATTTTCCCAAAGTGTTATGTTTCCCAAAGTTTTATGTTTCAGATCCTACTAATACTGGGTATGCTTTCCCACGTAAAAGGCCAAAGGCTGGGCTTCACTCTGTGTTTGTTCTACTTTGGAAGTTTGTCAGCCCAGCTGCACAAGTTCCTGGGACCAGGCTAACGCTCATCCCCTGCATCTTTCAACATGCCCGCCACTGCTCATCTAGTTCCCCATGGAAAGTGCTGACCAGGCTGTGATTACTCATCAGGTTCTCCATGTAGTTGGGCTCCTTCTGGCCAATGACTCGATACTGACGCCACTTTGTTCTTGGCTTCCGCCCTGCATTCCTGCCTTAAACCCAAAGGCAGAGTGGGGAAGACCACCACCATGGCAGTGTGTCATGCAAACACAACATGTAGCCATGGGGAGAAGGGCCCGCTCTCCATGCATAGTCTCTTTCTGTCTTCTGTCCTTAAAAGGAGAAAAGTCAGAGAGGGAAAAGCCTACATTCATCAGCTCAGTGGCTGCCCCTCCCAGCTGTGCGTGGCCACGTCGCACAAGGCTCCCGTGATAAGGGAAAACAGAGCCCTCAGATCCTCTGCTTGCAGTCGTTCCCCTCCCCAGTTAGGTCAAAGTCAATTCCATTTGTCTAGGTGAGTGGAAACAACCGGAACTGAGGTCCAGCACACAGTTAAAGTGACCCGAGGGCCCAGAAATACATTTTAATGCCATTCATCACTTATGCAACCCCTGACAAATGGCGTAGCGCAAGTTCTCCACTTCCCCATCCCCTACACCCATATACTCTTGGTTTCCATGTACCACAGTCATGTAATGGCTGCTGACCTTTTAGAGCTTCTGGGTCCCCCAGGATCCTGTTGAAAGTTTCTTGTGGGATCTTCTTGAAGGCTTCATTGGTTGGAGCTAACAATGTAAATTGGCCTTCATTTTCTAAAAGATTGTTGAGGCCAGCAGCTGCCACAGCAGTCTTTAAGAGAAGGCAAAAGAAATGCAATTAAACACACAGAACATACTCAAGGGAAACAGGTTTGAATCCACATGTAGTTTACTTAAGAGAACACCCAATGAAATCAAAGTGAATTAAGTAATTCCTTGATTTCCTTGGGTTTACTCCACTAATGACTAAATCTGGATCTAACCAATTTCCAAAAGGTGATTCCATTCTAAATCAGCATAGCGAGATGCATTAAAACCATTTGAGATGGACTTACCCGAAGGGTTTCAAGACTTTCTTCAATCTCAACAATTTGCAGGATATTGTTTGTTGTTGTAGAAATGACTTTGTCTATCAAATGGACCACTCCGTTAGTAGCATGATGGTCAGCTTTCAATAACCTTGCACAGTTGACTGTCACAATCTGGAGAAGAGGGGAACCACCAAAGACAAAAACGTAAACTAATGTATTAATGAGGGTTAAAACATTTGAGTAGCAATATACCATGACTCAGTTTGAAGAATTCCACAGCTTATTATGTGTCGCTTTATTCCCAAGTTCTTAAAAGAGACAAGGTGAGTTCTAATGATCACCTGCATGGATCTGAGAAATCTATTGGCTTGAAAAACTAATCTCTAGATTTAATAAGTAAATAAGTAAAGGTACAACACTATACTTATTTAGACAGAGAAATGTCCTACCATTCCCAGCACAATGGCTTAGAATTGTACCCCAAATAACTCACCAACTGGTTCTAAGAATAGATATTGCTCATTCTTTCACAATTTTTATGCAGGCACCCAAGTGCAGAATGGATGCCTACCAAGTCAGCTATGAAGGCTGTGAATCAGTCTCACTCCATGTTTTTCTGTCATGCCATTTTCACTACATCTGTTTATGTGCAGTTACAGTAAAGACGTCCATCCATATTCAAGCATAATTTAACAGCTGCCATTTAAAACATACATAAAAGTATAAAGAACCTGTCATCACAGATTGTGGGGGGCTTGAGTCTTCTCACCCCAGAAGGAATTCTGATCACGGCTTAACAAGCCACCTATGAAACTCATATCTTCTTCAAGGAGGCCTCCCGGTGCAGGACCTCAGATCTCAAGGGGCGGGAGGACACACAGGGAAGAAGGTGCTCCTTCAGGTATCCCAGACCCAAGCCATTTAGGGCTTTATAGGTCATAACCAGCACCTTAAATTGGGCACAGACTTGAATTGGTAGCCAGTGTAACCGGTAGAGGACCGGCGTTATATATGAAAAATGGCTGGTCCCCATTAACATCCTGGCAGCGCTGTTCTGAACCAGTTGAAGTATCTGGACCACCTTCAAGGGCAGTCCCTATTATAATCCACAAGACCATTATTTATTCAATTGCGGCCTAAATTGTACACTTTGTCATATGCATCCTTCCCTATATATCAAATATTGTTAAAGAAAGACATGACTCCTGGGAAAGATAAAGGGTATTGCTTTATTAAGTGGGTGCAAACAGAAGAGCTAAGCCACCAAATACTGCTTGTATTTTAGCCCAATGCAGAACAATAAGGAGGGTGCTGAGTTTGGATATGGAATACCAAGGTTCAGGCCACTGAAAGGCAGGCACAGTGGGAAGGAAGGAGGAACTCAAACAGGCACAAGTTTGCACAGCTCTGCTCCTTTAAGTTTTGGCCCATTTCCCTCATGTCCTTCCTCATGCCGCTTGGGAGTTTCTTCAGGGCAGAAAGTAACAGAAAAGACCTCTTATGTGAACCCCCTTCCGCTTGCAAATCTTGGGATCCAAGCCGACTTGAGTATCTGCCATAGCTCACAATAGTTACGGAGTTGTCTATACACGAGATCTGCAGCAGGAAAGTAACTTGAAGCAGCTTCTGCATGGCAGAACGTCATGTGAAGGCCATAATGTAAAGCAGGGGTTGGCATCTTGTGGCCTTCCAGAAGTCTGGGCTTGCCACCTCCATCAGCCCTCACTAGCCCAGCCAGTGGGGACAGATGGTGGGGCTTGTAAGCCAAATGTTGTGCATCCCTGATGTCGACCTTCCAGCTTCAAGTCTCTTGTTTCCCTCATCTGCCCTTCACACTAGGGAAAGCCAACCCGTATCAGTTTATCTGGTCCAACAACAGATTGATTAATCAACCAATTATATTAACAAATTCTTCTAAAAGTAGGAACAAAATCGTAATAGCCTCATCCATTACTCTTGGACTCAAATCCCTCCAAAAGGAAAGAAAAAAAAAAGTCTGTGTTCAATGCTGTTTGCAGCTTTAGCAAATACTCACTCCATTTGGATAATGATGGATCTGGATATCAATATTTTGGTACATTGAAGGAAGAGATATTCCATGTTTCAGATCATCAGTCAGGACTCGCTTATTCACCATGTGGTAGCGAAGTGCATTTAACAGCTCGATATTAACATTGCTCACCAAAGAATCCAACATTTCCTAAGAACAACAAATCAGGTCAGATACTCAGTTCCATTAACGAACTGTTCCATTTTTCCAAGCAGGGAAATGCAATTGAATGAAACTCTTCCAACATGCCTTTGCCAGGGAAATTAGCATGCGACTTTACTAGCCCTCCAGTGTGACTGAGGATGTTGCCAGCAAAGCAACAGGTAATCGCTATGTTAAGCTTGACTGGGGCTTCTCACGCAGGCCGCTGGATCAGCGGAGTACAGCCCTGTTGGCCCCGAAGCCTGGAGTGTGCTCACACAAGCACAGATGTCATTCCTGACCATGGGACATTTTCCCACCAAGGAAAGCACAGCTCAGTCCTGCGCATACCTGCTCAGAAGAAAGCCTCAGCACAACAGCTTTCAGACACGCAAGCACAGCTAATTTTAAAAGTTAAAGGTACTCAAATGCACAGCAGGTTATTTAAAATGCAACTGTTTTTAAATCACTCTTCTCTCTGATCATTGATGGTAGCTTATCCGAGATAAAAGCAGCCATTTCCCTGCTTATGATGGAAGACATCCTTCATTACTTTCTAATCTACTTTCTGTGGTCGTTTTCCTCAACCTATTTTACCAGCAGGTAAAAGTGAGACTGTTTATTTATTATGTATTAAATTTGCATAAAAGCCATCCATTAGCGTAATACTCTTTGGATGGCCATTACAATAATCTATCAATAATATTACTAAAACAATACAATTAAAATATTGTAATAAATAAATAAACTAAAGCAATATATATATCAACAAAACATTAAAAATAAAAAATAAATTAGATTCAGATTAAAATTAGTGCTGTCATATAAAAACTTAAGTAGTGTGATAGGTGAGCTGAAAAAGGAACGTTTTCTTCAGGTGCCTTATACTCAACAAAGCAGGTACCTGACGAATCTCTGATAGCAAAGCGTTCCATAATTGGGGTGTCACCACAGAAAAGACACTCCTGCTTGTCACCTCACCCTGAAACTATAGGAAGGCCTCTACTGATGGGGCCACACAACTTGCCCCTGAGGACCACATATGGCCTGTGAGCCGCAGGGTGCGTACTACTGCCCCGGATAAAAGGGATTTTTCATCCCCAAGTAGACAATTGTGCTTGTGGAAGGAAAAATCAGCGCATGGAATGCACAGATCCCGCCTAGTTTAACAAAATCATACACCTTTTGACCCTAGATGTTATTTACTGCTATTAAATCTTTTGCAATCTATTTTTTTCTTCATTTTTATTGGGATCCAATTATATAGAACAAATTGTGACAACAAATTATATATACAAATTGTGACCCAGTTTGTACTGGTATGCAACATAATTACAGCTGCAGCACAGTTCTTTTTCAGGTTTCATGCATGTTAATAGCACTTTTCAATATGGCAAGACTTTGAACCTTAAATTTGAATCTACTCTTATCAATATTCATATGAATTGGTTATAATGAAAGATCAAGATTTTATTATGACAACAACTGCAAGCTCTTACAAGAATAAAAGTGTCTGCATTCTCTATGCTCAGCCATTGGGGAATTTTAAGAGTTCCTTAGCACAATTAAGGGAGTTCCTTAACTCTACAGTTAAGAAAGAAAGCAAGTTTATGAAGGCATCTAAATTCACATGGAACTTGGACGCTGCCTTGCATTTACTGCTTTAAGAAAAAAATCCTTCCCTTCTCAAGGTAAAACTGTGATTTAATCAATCATCATATGAATGGTCATAAGGCACACAGAAACATGCAAGGACTGGAAATAAAAAGGAAGGGATGTATGGGAGAAGGTGCAGAGTAGCACGTCAGGTAATCAGGACGGCTGGTTAACCAAGTGGTGACTCTAATCATGGTGTTGGGTAGCACATTTCTGCACAACAAGAAGCCACCTAAATCTAGGATGCTCTAGCTGTCTTTAAAATGGCAATGCTTCTCGGTACGCACTTCCCACATTATAGATAAATGGCTTCCATTTTCGTGATCTCTTTAGCTCATTCAAGGTTAGGAAAATGGAAACCAGACTTATGCTTACAGCAGGCAAGGAAGCCCAGGCCTCGTTGGTTGGAGCAAAGATGGTGTAGCTCCCAGGACCTGTGATTTCAGCACTCAGGTTAGAGCTGGCGGAATAGAGCTGAGTGGTTGTGGCCCCAACAACTCCAAGAGTTTCGTAAAGGTTTGAAAGAGGCAAAGCTGTTGAAAAAATAATACAGTTGATTTCAGCAAGGTAGTCATTGCATCTCAACAACAGTTATTACTGTACAGTTAAAATAAAGGAATGATTTCCAAAAGAGTTCTCAAAGTAAATATAGACTCAGTTATGCTTTGAGAAGACCTTCTGCAATCAATGAGAGCACAAGTTACCCGGTCTTAACCCAAGGTCCATTTGTTTTAATGGTTTACCCCACAGACCTGGTACTTCTGGGACACAAGCCTCGCATGGTCCAGGGACGTTCCTCCCAGCTGGCCTATGGAGCCCTTTCAGATTCTTCGCAAAGCTTCCAAGTCCCAGCTGTCTCTGGTCTGTGACCGAAAGGAACCGTGAGGACTCCTCCCACCTCCCCACTGGATCTGGGGCAGCTGTGGAGCTTTGGCTTCTCATTCCACCTGGGCAGACAGGCAGTGCACAAAGCCGGCTACCAGGCAGGAGTCTGTTTTGGGTACTTCTTCTTGCCCCATTGAAGATGGTGCACAATGGAGGAACTGACTGGACCAGAACTTGGAGGAGCCCCTTCTCCAGATGCCAGCCAAATCCTTTTTATTATTTCAAGAGATACTCATGAGGCTAATTCCCAAGTGTGCTTTGTACTTCCAAAACATGATACAGTTTTTGGAAATTAAAAGATCTGCTGCTTCTCATATCATAATGTCTGGAATCTATTCAAGTCTGGGACCTCTTCTCTTCAGGAAAAGAGCTACCTACCAGGCTTATATGCTCAATGGACAACAACAGCAACCTTTCCATGTTCGCATTAGATTTTTAAAAGTTTATTTACCTGCTGGGCAGCCCTTTTCGCCAGGAACCTCTTCATATCCTGGGCAGCACTCATAGGCAATCACTCTGCAATGAGAAAGAACCACAGACTATTAAGAGAAATGGCTAACCGGAAAGTCTGTCACCATGGGCAGAGCCAGCACTAGGGTCTGGCTCACTAGGGTTGAAGCCCTGAAACTTTCATTTGTGTCCCTGAATCCTGGGGAGGCTTTCTGTCCCACTATCTGCTGTGCATGGACACTTGCTGAAGCCAAGTTACAAAGCACCCAGATTATTCATCTCTTTTGCATCTGTTCCTTGAATTAGCCGGAGGGTTTTTTTGGGGGGGGGGGGGGGGGGTCTACTTGTGCTTCCTCCTGCTATCCCTGCCCTGGATCTTCCTGCTTGATTTTTTTCACTGAAATCAAATGTTCCCTTCTCTCCTGTCCATACAGCCCCTTTTACAAATACCCCTTAGGAGACAGATCCTTTCAAGATACACAGAGAGAGACTTTAGAGCACATATCAATCAGCAGGTGTGAATCTGTGCATCTTCCTCTTCCTAACTTGCGCCTGTCAGACTAATTCCTGAACCTTTTTGGTACCAAACACCATCTCAGTTAGTGGCCTTGTGTTGTCCTGGATACCTGTCTAATCGCTTTCTGCCCAGGTGGCAACCTGGATGGGCAACACTTGGTCTATGCCACTGAAGAGCATGCCTCCTCCCTTGCCAACCTGCCTGGCCATTCAGACATGTTGCTCCATACGGACTAGTCCACCCAGAGAAGAGCCTTCAGTGCAGCAGCTGCATTTCTCCGAAAGCCCCTTCCTCTGGAGCTCAGGCAGGCACCAACACTACCTTGATATTGGTGCCTACTGCTAAGTCGTCTTCCTGCATTGACCAAGCATGGCTTTTATTGGTATTTTTTTAAAGCTTCTCATAGGGTGATTAATTAATACCATCCCATGTTGTCCACTGCTCCAGAACCTATTTAGATGCTGTAAATCAATAAAATAATCTCTAAATTAGAATTGGATAGGGCGACCTGCCAAACAGGGGGAATCTTTAAATGAAAGAGGTTCCTCTGGCAGCCCTTCAAATAGAGGACTGTCCTTTGAAAAAGGGGACACCAGGCCACTGGGGGCCTGCCTATGCTGGTAGTTTAGAATGAGGGAGAGTCAGCACAACGCAGCTTTATCATGAACTGAATCTCATGGTATACATATCTAGTTTCTGTTCAAGTTACAACTGGTAAAACACAGGCTCTCCCGCCTTGGGTGCATGGAAGCCCTTTAAATGCAGTGAGCCTTACTTCAGAGTAAACAGTGTTTGCAAATTGCCTCGATGCCACAGGCTCTGAGCCAAACCTTGCAGCCGCCTGTTTACCGTGGCACAGAGAGGCTCTTCCACACGAAAGGGAGTGAAGTTGCAAATGCGGTGTTTTGTTAGCAGATTAAGCGACACTGGGAACACTGGGCTTCTATACCACATGTAATCACTGTTTGGATAACACTGCCATTCTGTTATGTTTATTATCTTAACAAAGCAGCCTAATGTTTCCTCTCTCATCAGGCCCCAGTGTTGGAATAACACTTATCTCCTTGAGACACACTTTTTTGTTTCCTTGGATTAAATTGTAATAGAGCAGCATTCGGAATTCATCCATTGATGCTGATGGCTTTATTTATCCTCTGTAGCTATTTAAATAAGCTTTGGGACATTAAACTGCTCATAACATAGTAAAGTGGCAAATGTAACCTCTGTGATATAAAGAAAGCAGCTAAACCAATTATAAACCCTAAGGCTTTATAGGAAAAAAAAAGAAAAGTTGGTCAACTAATGAACTGTCTGATACATTTAACAGCTGGTGGCTTGTTCTTTCTCTGGCTTTGAATGCTGTTAAGTCATTCTAGCAAACCACAATTTAATTAAGCTTCAATATATATACCAGCTTTAAAAATAAACCTCACAATGCTTCCACTTACTCTATTAAAAAAAACCAGGCAAAAGCTGTGCTTTCTTACAAATAAGAAAAGCAGACTTGCAATTTCCCCAAGGTTGTTTTACTTCTAGCCTTACAGCTTTTTGAACTGAGCACACAATCTCATCTCTGGGACAAATCTGCAAAGAATAATAGTATGTTGACTGGTAAAGTGCGCTTCAGAATTGGCTTGCTAGCAAGTATAATCAAGAGGTGGGCAGAGGCTATAGAAATCAAAGGGCAAGCATGAGTTTCTGCAACTTGTGAACATGTATGGGAACATCTGCAGGAGACGACCAAAACTATTTGAATGTCATGATTTGGATCCATAAATCAATATTGGGAACACTATGAGATTAAAAAACCTGACAGTAATTAAGAGTCAGCATGTGAAACAAATACCTGCATTTCAGTTGCAGAAGCAAATAAATTATGTGTCATAGTTTCCAAGCAAAATTACGCAGAAATATCCAGACTGATTGTCTAGACATTATATTTTCCATATGGGAAATGGTTTGCCTAAAGAAAATTGCTTTCTTTGACTCCTGCAGGTCTCAACACCCCACTGGTACCTTATTTTCTCATCAGGTAACACACACACACGTACATATTCCCTAACCATACTTTGGGGTCACGGATGAAACTAACTGCATATTCTCTCCTCGTCTAGGCAGCACTTTGGTTCAAAACTGGAGTGAAACACAGAGATGATTAAAGACAAGTCCACCAACGTTTAGCATAAAGAATTCTCAGAGTCTGACATCATTCCTCAAAGCCTTATTTATAGACAGACGGAAGGTTAATGAGCTGTGACTAATAGACCAGGAACCTAATGTACACAAAACTTAGGATGGTAGTCTAAACTCTCCAATGGACGTGTCTGCTTGGGTAAGGAAAGCTGTGTTGGTGTACTAGGCTGACAATTAACTCCCGAGGGACCTAATGGAAGATAAAATCTATAATGGAATGCCTTTTTCTGGAGTGGACATTACAACTGTTCTACACATTTGGGAGAGGGAAACCTGTATTTGCTTCAAAATGTCCACTCAGTTGGCAGCAGCAGCCTATTACTCTTTATGGAAGCACCATAAACCGTCCACCATTTATGGATCCCTAGTCTAAGTAGGTATCTTTCCCAATGCAAACGGTGGTAGTGGCATGGAAAATGCTGACATACACAAGCCTCCTGGATGTAGAACCATATCTTGAAGCCTCACCTGTGCTCTTGGACTGGCTGTCCCGCTCACTGCACATATAATTCCCACGATCCCACTAGCTGCTTTGCTGCTCATAATATAGGAAGTATCATATCTACTGGAACTGGCCCCAAACCATTTTATCGGGGCCCTTGGACTACTGCCACATTTTTGTTCCTGAGAAAAAGGGGCATAATGCAAAGCAACCACAGTAAGTTCAGGAGATGTATCTTTCAAGCTTTGGCAGATGTGCAGAAAATGCAGCCCAGCCAAGCAAAATACAGAGGGAGACTGTACCTTCATAACTTAGGCAGGCCCTGGGACCAGCTGTCCATCTTAAACATTCCTGGTTCAAGCGTGGTGAGTGCAGGCTTTGAGAAGGCTTTCTTACTGACTTCCCTGCCCTGTAAGCTCAGCCTAACTCTCCCCAAGTCTTTTCAAGGTTGGATTTCATTACTGTAAATGCACTTAAAATTAACTCAGAGCAGAGAGAACATCAATAAGACTTACGCTGTTTTCCATTTTAAAATGAAAGTCTGATTGACTAACAAGAAAGATGTCACTTAACATCATCCACATAAGAAGCGGAAAACTGGTTAAAAGAGGTAAGAGAATTGTTTCCAGACCCCAAGGACTAGAGACTTATCAACTCTGGTGCCCTGCTGCACTTCCTTGTTTTAACACCTTCCTCCTTTCTCAGCCTGATATGCAGCCTAGTCAGCACTCATCTTCCTGTTTCTGAATTCCCCCTTTCCCAGGAATGAGCGATACCTACAAACAACCCTAAACAAGCCTGCATGAGACAAATCCTGTTTTGCAGCAGATGAAATGCATAATAAATGGTCAAGGGAGAGTGCTCAGCACAAGCAGCCTCGAGAGCCCTCACCTTCCGTGACTCCTCAGCCTTTCCAAAGCCCAACAGCAACTTGTCTGTCATTTTGTCCAGAAAAGACAGGCAGTGGCACAGCCAGAGAAGGCAGGCGCCATCGGCACGCCAAAGCTATAGGCTGGTTATTACAGAAGGGACGGACACAGGGCTGCGCACGGATCCTGCATGCTGTGGCAGTGCAGTCAGGGGCAGCGCAAGTAGCAGATATGTGCTGCATTAATCAAAATACAGACTGACGGGATGTTGAAGGACCGGGCTTTAAATAACACATTTAAAGCCAATTAGTGTAAAAAGTTTACAAGAGAATGGGAAAAAAGGAGAGAAAGAGAGAGAGATTTTCCTGCCTTTCTTTTAACCAAATAACATTGCTACAAATTTAAATGTTGGGCCAAGGGAGAGGAAAACCAACCAGGAGTTGAGATATTCACATTAAAAATATATTTCTGTAGCCCCAAGTAATTAGATCCTTTTGGAGCTATTCCAAATAAACAAATAGGCCCTTCTGTTCTTAAATGGTTAATATTTCTCTGCATACAGTTTCACATGACATTTATATATGCATTGTTTTTAGTATGCAGCAAAATACACATGGATGTGCTTATTGCCTGTGTGTGCACACATCTGCATGTTCCCTCCATGTTCTAGCTATTAAAAACATGTTTTCAGTGGCCCAGCAATGCAGAAGGTCCTAAGGCTATTTAGTTCTTTTCTGTGTTCATGAGAATGCACAGTTCCTGGAAAAGTAAGCTATGACTTTGAATCACAGAACCATCAATTTTCAGAAATGAACGCTCTGAGGTCAGTTTCAAGAGGGTCATTTCAAAGTGTTTACAATTAACAAAGCTGAACAAACCACTGGTGAACTCTGTGTGACAGTGCCACATGGTCATTAGAGTATCTGGTGAGCTGCTTCAGATACTGACTGCTCAGCAATGCAGGAACTCAGCCCAAGGGCCCTTGACCTAGACATTCTCAACCCCTTTGACCACATTTTCCTGACTTCTTAATGTGGACACTATT